CTGGCCTGCACTGCAGTCATGGCTGTTTGGGTGCCAGTGCCCGTGACGGAGCAAGGTCGAGGTGCCAGAGCTGGCTGGGGGGACCTCCTGTGCTCCCCCACCCTTGGGGAGCTGCCCTCAGGGTGGTCTGGGAGTTGGGCAGTGTGAGCCGAGTCCCGTGCAGAGTGGGGAGGGGCACAGGACTGGGCAGCAGCAGGAGGGACTCTTCGGGGGCCTCCTGGCTGAGGCCGCCCACTGCCCGGTCCCAGGTACATCAGTCTGCTGCCCGTCATCCCAGTCACGCTCCACTTGAACCCAAGGGAGGCCCTGGAGGGGCGGCACCCTCAGGACAGCCAAAGTGCCTGGCCCCCGCCACAGCCCGCGCCTGGTGGGCTCTGGGAGGCGGGCCCCAAAGGGCCGGGCATGGCGCAGGCCCATGGAGACGTCACGCTGTACAAGTAAGGCCTGGGAGGGAGGGCGGCTGGCGGGGCAGGTCTGGGAGCACCTGGCCTGACCACATCCCTCTGCCCAGGGTGGCGGCGCTCGGCCTGGCCTCTGGCATTGTCCTCGTGTTGCTACTGCTCTGCCTCTACCGCGTGCTCTGCCCGCGCAACTATGGGCAGCCCGGTGGCGGGCCCGGCCGGCGGCGCCGCGGAGACCTGCCCTGTGATGACTACGGCTACACGCCGCCCGAGACGGAGATCGTGCCCCTGGTGCTGCGCGGGCACCTCATGGTGAGTTCAGCGGGGGCCAGGCCCGGGCCACACCCCCACCAGTGCCCGGGCCCATGGCTGTGCCCCGCCCCCACAGGACATCGAGTGTCTGGCCAGCGACGGCATGCTGCTGGTGAGCTGCTGCCTGGCGGGCCACGTGTGTGTGTGGGACGCGCAGACTGGGGACTGCCTCACGCGCATACCGCGCCCCAGGTAGGTGTCCACTCTAGTCACACACACCCCCGCCCCCTGTGCCCTGCTGTCCTCACCCCACCCTCCTGGCCCTCCCCCAGGCAGCGCCGGGACAGTGGTGGTGGCAGCGTGTTTGAGGTCCAAGAGAGCTGGGAGCGGCTGTCAGAAGGCGGTAAGAGCGGCCCAGAGGAGCCAGGGGACAGCGCTCCGCTGCGGCACCGTCCCCAGGGCCCTACACCGCCGTCCCTCTTCGGGGACCAGCCGGACCTCACCTGCTTGATTGACACCAACTTCTCTGTTGGGCCACGGCTCTCAGAACCCCCTGAGCCTGAGCCCCGGCACCGGGTGGGCTGCGGCCGAGCCCGGGACAACCCAGGCTATGATTTCAGCCGCCTGGTACAGCGAGTTTACCAGCAGGAGGGGCTCACCCCTGTCCACGCGCCAGTCCTGCGCCCACCCTCCCCCGGGCCCACACTGCCCCTGGCCCCTGAGGATGAGGGGGGCTGTCCTCCCGAGAAGAGCTCCCCGGCCCTCACGTGGGCCCCCAGTGCGGACGGCTCCATCTGGAGCCTGGAGCTGCAAGGCAGCCTCATTGTGCTGGGACGGAGCAGTGGACGCCTGGAGGTGTGCGGAGGGGCTGGAGGCGGGTGGGGGCCGTGGGCCGCCCCAGCTTGCGGGGGCTCACGGCCTCTTGGCTTGCAGGTGTGGGATGCCATCGAGGGCACGCTGCGCTGCAGCAGCGAGGAGGTGGCCTCGGGAATCACGGCCCTCGTCTTCCTGGACAAAAGGTGGGAGTGCCAGGCCGCCTGCCGCAGCCCCCACATCCCAGCCCTTCCTGGCCAGGCCCCACTCTGAGGTCTGAGTCCTAGCTCCCCTTTGCTGGTGACTTGAACACCCTTGGTGCCCAGCCCCACACCTGTGACTAGAGGGGGTCCACCTGGAAGAGAGGGCTGGTTAGCAGGTATGAAGCACTTAGGACCAGGCCTGGCACTGAGTTCTCAGGACACTTAGCCACTCACACAGGACCTTGGGGCTGGGGTTGGGTGAGTATACTGTTGTCCTCCTTTTACCTTTATGGAGTCAAAGTTCTCTATGTAGCCTGTTGATGCTGACCTGAGTTTCTTGGCTGCATTTTCAGTTACAGGAAAAAAATGTTTTCAGAAGCTTCTTGTTAAAAACTTTTCTTTCGCATTGACACTGGCCACTGCTCTCACCTCCCTCCCTGGCATACTCTGGCTGAAGGTGCTCCCAGGGCTCCGTCTGCACACTCGAGGGGCTCACTCGAGGGGGGCTCCCCGCTCTTGGCAGGCACACCCAGCTCTCAACCCTGACCATCCGGCACCATAGGAGCAGGAGCTGGAGCCTCTTGTTTTCTGGGGGTGGGAGAGGTACCTCTTGCTTCTTGCTCTTTTTCGGCTGCTGCCATGACCAGGCCTCTTGCATGGGCCTTGGCTGCTGAGGCCCCGCCCTCCAGCCTGGCCTAGTTCATTGGTTTCCCTGACTCTTGGAAATTCTTGCCTGCTTATTTTTTTAAGTTTCAGGGAAAGCCCACCTCTTGGCCCAGTGTTCAGAGTTCCGGGTGTCGTTTCGTCATCCTTCCCCTTCACCATGTCTGCCCCAGTTCTGCGGCAGGCCCACAAATTCAGGGGCAGAGGTTAGAGACACATTTTCTGCTGGAGTAAGATTCTGAATCCTTCTCACTGCCAGGCTTTAGGGCCACTGGGCAAATATCCCTGTGTCCTCCTATCAGCTTGGGCCTAGGCATTCCCAGGCAGTGAAGAAGATCCTGGTTTCTTTGTGGGACAGCAGATGGCGGGGCTGGTGCTTGTTTGAGCCGCTTTGGTGTGGTGGAGGCTGCAACCCCACCTTCGGGCATGTATGTCCCCCTCCTCAGAACTTTCCAGGCTGTGGAGGAGAACTCTCCACGTGCCTGTTTTTCACTTACAACCTTACGCGATACTCCCCCAGGTGCCGCTTCACCCACACTAACTCATTTCCTCCTCGTGACCACCCTATGAGGTGGTTTTGTTGTCCCCATTTCACAGATGAAGAAACTGAGGCAGAGGATCATGGAGTGGCAGCTGGGCCCCTCCAGCACCTCTTCCCCAGTGCCCGTGCCTCCCTGCTGGCTGCAGGCCCTGCTGTCTCCCTGTAGAGCCAAGCCTCTGGCGTGTGTGTGGGGCTGTCCCGTGGTGGGAGCTCTCTGGGTGAGCCACATGGCCACACTTCTCTTTCAGGATTGTGGCTGCCCGGCTCAACGGATCCCTCGATTTCTTCTCCTTGGAGACCCACACTGCCTTCAGCCCCCTGCAGTTCCGAGGTCAGAGGGGCTGGGCTCAGCAGGCTCCTGCACCCGGGGCCGGGGTGCCTCTCAGAGACCCCTCACTCAGCCCGTCGTCCCCAGGGCAGGGTAGCTCTGCCACATCCCCCACGTACAGCAGCAGTGACACGGTGTGCTGTCGCCTGACCCACACGGTGCCCTGCGCGCACCAGAAACCCATCACAGCCCTGAAGGCCGCTGCGGGGCGCCTGGTGACTGGGAGCCAGGACCACACATTGAGGGTGAGTGTCAGCCTGGCTCTCGGCCCTGGAGCAAACAGCACAGCGACGGGGTGGGGGCCAGAGGTCAGTCAGAGAGAGGCTGGTGGTGTCCTGGGTGAGCCGTGGAAGGGATGCCCTGGCCAGAGTGTGGTTTGGAAAAGTGGAGAACAGAACGTGACGCTCGTCGCTACCCCAGGTGTTCCGTCTGGAGGACTCGTGCTGCCTCTTCACCCTGCAGGGCCACTCGGGGGCCATCACAGCCGTGTACATGGACCAGGTGAGGGGGCTGCACGCGGGTGTGGGCCAGGCCACGGCCCTTGTTCCTGACTCCTGGGAAGCAGACCAAGGGCCCCCCAGGACACTAGGAGACTGCAGTAAAGGTTCCTGCCACCCTGCTCCTGACCTTGTCCCTCTAGGAACAGGTGGCAAGCACAAGGCCTGAGGGCCAACTCCACCTTGTTTTATCCAGCCCAGCACCTTGTTTCTACCCAGCAGCAGTGCCGAGCTGTCGCTTAACTGTTAAGGAGCAGTTATGTGTATATAGTCCTAAAATTACACTCAGCCCTTTGAAGGCAACTACGAGGCTGCCCTGGCCCTTGGTGAAAATGAGTTTGACACCCCTGCTCTAGACCATGGTGCTGGCCAGTGGAGGACAAGACGGGGCCATCTGCCTCTGGGACGTGCTGACTGGCAGCCGGGTCAGCCACATGTTTGCTCACCGTGGGGATGTCACCTCCCTCACCTGCACTGCCTCCTGCGTCATCAGCAGTGGCCTGGATGACCTCATCAGCATCTGGGACCGCAGCACAAGTATCAAGCTCTACTCAATTCAGCAGGTAGACAGGTGGGGGCCGCACGCTCGCCCTGCTTCAGGGAAGGGCTATGACGCTGAGCCTGTCATGTCCTTGCCTCTAGGACCTGGGCTGTGGCGCAAGCTTGGGCGTCATCTCGGACAACCTGCTGGTGACCGGTGGCCAAGGCTGTGTCTCCTTCTGGGACCTAAACTATGGGGACTTGTTACAGACAGTCTACTTGGGTAAGGAGAGTGAGGCCCAACCCGCCCGCCAGATCCTGGTGCTGGACAACGCCGCCATTGTCTGCAACTTCGGCAGCGAGCTCAGCCTGGTGTACGTGCCCTCTGTGCTGGAGAAGCTGGACTGAGGGCGGGCGGGGGCTCTGTGGAGCCAGCGCACTGGCCCGAGAGTGGGGGAGCAGCTCAGTCTTCAGGACCTCTGAACTGTCCTCCCTGAGGACTATAATATTAAACTTTTTTAAGAAACCACATCCACCAGGGACCTGGTGAGCCACTGCGTCTCCTCCACTAGAGGTCCCCGCCCTGTGCCTCCCCCTCCAGCACTCAGTTAGACCCTTCGCGGCTCCGCCACTCCAGGCAGGAGCCACAGAAGTGCATGGGACCAGCGACAGGGTTGGGGGAGGGCTCTTAACTATTTCAGAGATGTGGCAGCCAAGGGTGGCCCCAAGGTCACCTGCCCATGCTCACTGAAGATGCCATGTTTCAAGGCAGTTAGTGGGGTTCAGGCTCCTCCTCCGAGGCAGCAAGGGGCGGACACTGGCCACAGAACAGGTCAGTTTATTCAACAGCCAAGAGCTGAAAAATGTCGGATCCCACCAAGGAGCAGAACCCGACCCAAGGCCTGTGACACAGCTCCACCCCACAGGGGTGTGTGTGGGCTGGACTGGGAATGGGGGGAGAGAGCAGGCCCACCTCAAGGCCCCACTGGGCGCCAGCCGGCGAAGACGGTGTGGTGTGAGGGTGCAGTGGGCCAAGCCTGCTCAGGTCTTGTTGAGTGTCCAGAGTGGATCCAGGAGGCTGAGGGGATCGTCAGTGGGCCGGTCACCCCGTAGCCCCTGCCCGTTAGGGGCCTGCAAGAAGTTCTGCTTGCTCATCCGCTGCTTTCCCCGCAAGGAGCTGTCCAGGGAAAAGGCCTCAGGGGTTAGGGAGGCCAGCAGCTCCAGGGAGGAGGAAGGGGGCCCCAGGCTGGGGGCCTCAGGAACTGGCTGCTCCTCTTCCGCCTGGGGGGTCTCGGGCAAGGGTGAAGAGAGGGGGGGTGGGGAGGAGGATGGGGGCTGGGTGGACTCTTGGAGGCTGGCTGGCAGCGGGCCTGGGCCTGGGGGCTCTACAGGGCATGGCAGGCAGGCAGCTGGGGAATCCAAGCCCGCAGTAGGCCGGATGCTGAGCTTGGCAATTGTGGCTTGGATGGAGCTGATGGGCACATCCCCACCGAGGACCAGGTCCTGGGAGTCCTGAGGAAGGTGATTCTGAAAAGACCAAAGTGGGTGAAGACAGGGTCCCACAGGCTGTGGCTATCCAAGCAACTCTTTCCTTCCTCACCTTCTGGATGGTGCTTGTGCCTGCCAAGGGTCTGCACGGTGGGGGCACACCGTGGCGCTGCAGGACCTGCTCCACGTGTCTCACCACCGCCTCGTGGCAGAACCTGAGATGCAGCTGCAGAAGCACATGTGGCCTGGTGAGCTACAGGGGACCTGTCGCCCAAGGGCAGGTGCCTGTCCCAGCGCCCAGGACCCTTACCTTCTCCTGCAGCATGTGCTTCCTCTGCTGCCGCATTTGCCGCACCAGCTGGGGCAGCTCAGGGAGCCTGTTCCCCGCCTCCACCTCCTGCACGGCTGCGTAGAGCAGCGCAAAGGCTCCCGTGCGACCCACGCCAGAGCTGCAGCAGGAAGGGGGTGTTAAGGCCAACAGCCTCTGGCAGCTGCCCCTTCCCTTCAGCCTAATAACCGAACTGCCTACCTGCAGTGCACGACGATGGGGGTGTGCAGGGGCCTCTGGTGCAGGTAATGTGTGTGGACCTCCTGGATGAAATGCAGCAGGTTGCTGGGGCTGTCGGGCAGGCCTCTGCAAGGGTGGGGTCTGAGAGTCAGGCCCCACCTGAGGGCCTCACCACCCCTCCCAGGACTCCCAGCCCCTGGGGCCACGGACGCACAACTCAGGCCAGGTAGGAAAGTGGAGGTGTACGAGCGAGCGCTTCAGGCTCTGGTCACGGAACTGCAGGCTCAGCACCCGCTCCACGTGGGTCTCGGTGGTACGGACACTGCTCAGAGCCAGGCTCAGGGCGCCATGCACCATGGGCTGGCCTCTCTCGGTGGGGAAGTAGCGGGCCACCTTTTGCTGAGGGGCAAAAAGAGGACAGTTAGGGCTACTTTCCCAGGATCCCTCCCGAGCACCCATCCAGTCTCCACCTCACCTTCTCCATCTCAGCCTCAGACACCAGCATGACAATGACCGACACTTTCTGCTCATGCACCATGAGCCAGAAGTCAGCGGCTGTGCCGGGCAGAGGGGCCTGGGTGGCCACCAGGGGCGGGCAATACGGCGAGAGCCCCTCCACACGGCTGGCGTTGATGTAGTCGTCCTTGCCCGAGCGCAACACCACACGGTTGCTGTCGTAGGGCATGATGTCCTGGTGCCGGTTCTTCAGAGAGTAGCAGCGGGCGATGGCGATGGAGCGGCCGCGGGCATCCTGCTCCTGTGCGTCCTGCAGCTCCCGCCAGACGGCGTCCAGAGTCCCCGCGTCGCCCAGCTGGCCCCGAAAGGCATCCAGCTCCTGCTGCAACTGCTGCAGTCTCTCAGGGTGCTCGTAAGGATCCCGCTCAATCAGCCGCAGGGCCTGTGGCCGCCAGCCCTCAGCCGAGTCCACCTTGGTAGGCTGCAGCAGGGGCTGCCCACCCCCAGGAGGCTGGGTGCCACCGTGCTGGCTCTCTGGGCTGGAGGAGAGCAGGTCTGCCGCCGCAGCGCCCCGGCGCACGCTTGGGGGCGGCTCCGCTGCAGGGGCCCGAGGAGGTACTGGGCTGGGTGCTGGTGACGGGGCGGGTGAAGGCACCAGGTGGGGACTAGGGGTGGCCTGGCTGGCAGGTGAGGGGCCTTGAATAGAGAGAGGAGCTGCTTGGGGGCCCAGAGGCCTGGGGGAAGGGGCAGGACCATATGCCAGAGTAGGGTGAGGAGGCTGAGGGGGTCCAGGACTAGAGAAAGGCAGAGCCCCTGAGTGGGGGGGCAGGGGATCCTGAGAGGGACCAGGATAGAGCTGGCTGTGTAGGGGGGGTCGTGGCTGCCCCAGGACACCAGGCTGAGGAGCAAAGGGGTAGGGTGGCTGGGAGGCTACAAGTCCTGGAGCCTGGGATGGGAAGAGGTGGGGGTGTTGGAGTGCGAGAGGCTGTTGGGGCGGTTGTGGCCCGAAGGCCACTCGTGCGGGGTGAAGAGGGGGCTGGGGCCCAATCCTTGGGGCTGGAAAACCTGTGGGGAGCCCAGGAGGAAAGTGCTGGGCTGGGGGTGCTGTGAGGGGTTGCTTGGGCCCCGGAGGGTAGGGGTAGAGCATGAGCTGTGACTGGGCTGGCGGTACTGGGAAGCAGGGCTGGGGAGGAACGGGGGTGGGGTTCGGCCGGGGTGCTGTGTGGCTAGAGATGGGAGCCTGGACACTATCTACCGTGGTGGTGGCTGGCCGAATTCCCATCGCCAACTCTGGGCCCGAGAACTGGGGAGGTGGGGCAGAGGGCAGACCAGCAACTGGGAGGTGAGGCCCCACCCCTCCGTAGGGACTACTCGCCACCACCCCGTGCTGGGGGGAAGAGCGGGGCACAAGGCCCAGCTCTGGTGTGTAGGCAGGGGCTGGGTAAACAGGTCCAGATGCCATGGCCAGTGCGGGGGGCCCTGGGGTCTGGGGGACCCTGGGCTGCAGTACCTGTGTGGGGCCTGAGTAGCTGCCCAGGGGTAAGGGGCCTGAGAGATAGTGGGCTCCTGGGGCCACGGAGCTGGGGAAAGGGCCAGGAGCAAAGCGGAGCGCAGCATTAGCTCCCAGGAAGGCGTCAGGGGGCAGGCTGCGCAGCTCCTCGGGTGGGTCTCCCGTCTCCCCTGCCTCGCCCTCCCTGCGGGGCAGCAGTGGCTTGGGGGCTGTCGGCCGCGGTGGTGGCTTCTTCTTCAGCTCCCTGTCAGACGATGAGGTAAGGAGGGGAGCCAGCGCCCTGTCGGCCCAGACTGGATCTGGGCTGCAGCTGTCCCACGGTCCCAGGACCTCACCCACCTGTCCAGGAGCTGCTGGCGGGCGGCCTCACGGACCCGGCAGACAGACTGCGCCCGTTCCAGGAGAGCCGCCACCTTGCTCTCCAGGTCTGCATAGAAGTCCTTGCCCTCTTGGGACTTCTTCATCAGGTCCTCATAGGCTTCATAGGAGGCCACCAGGGTCTGCAGCGTGGAGTTCCACCTGGTGGGCAGAAGAACCAGCAGGAGGTAGAGGTCAGCCGCCAGAGCTAAGTCTGGACAGGACTCAGGCAAGAGCGCAGGGCCGGGCACTAACTTCTGGTCCAGCTCGTTGAGCACCCGCCGCACGGCCGCATACTGCACATTGGCCTCCGTCAGCGCCCGGAGCACGTTGTCCTGTGCAGCCAGGTTCTGCTCCAGGTACACCCTCAGCTGGTCATACTTCTTCAGCTGCTCCTCAAACAGCTTCTGAGGGAGTATTGGGGGTGGAGGACACTCAAGGCTTTGCTACCTACGGGTAGAGCCTGAAGCCAGGGCCCCACCACCCTGCTCCCGCTCTCGCCCCACCTTCATCTCCGAGTGGTCGGTGGTAACCAGCGAGGCGGTGATGTCATCCTTCTGGATGAGCTCTCGCAGCTGCTGCTCCAGAGACACTCGCTGGTCCCGCATCTCCTGCACCTTGGCCAGGATGCGCTTCAGGTTCTGCAGCACAGCCTTGTCCTCTGGAGGCAGCAGTGGTCAGTGAGGATGGAGAAGCCCCCGGATGTCTTACCCGTGGGCACAGGGCAGGCAGTGCTCACCTGGAGTGAGAGCAGGCACGGGCAGGGCAGCCCGGACCTGGTCCAGAGGCCCGCTCAGCAGGCGGAGGTTGCCAACGTGCAGGTTCATGGCACGGTGCAGCTCACTGTTGGTGAAGGAGGCCTTCTCGTGGACCTCCATGTACTTGGACCATTCTCGCCTCACCTCTGCCAGCTCAGCCTTGGAGACCGCCATGCCGGCCCCCACCTGGCCCACTGTCTCCTGCAGCTTCTGGTCGAGCAGCTCATCCTCCTCCAGCAGGTCCCCGATGTCCTTCAGAGAGGCCTCCACGTCGGTGAACACACCAGACAGCACTGAGGGGGTGTATGGGGAAGGGACAGAGGGACCAGCTTCTGAGGCAGGCAGACCAGGCACCCACTCCGGCCTGTCCCCTATGACACAGAACTGCCCCTCAGTCAAGGGCTTGTGACAGCCCGACACTCCCTGAGCGCCAGATGCAGCTTGTGCCAGGGGTGTGGAGAGGTGCAACCTCCATCCTGGGTGAACAGGGGACAGAGAGAAGGCCACAGCAGATGACGTCATCACCTCCCCCCCCATCTCCCCCACCCCCACACCTTGCATGGACTGGACGAGGTTCCGGACAGTGTCGGGACGCACACTGAGAGCTGCGCACTTCTCCATGAGCTGGGGCGGGATGTGGCTGTATGTGTCAAGGTTGTCCACTGTTTCGGGGTCCAGCTGCATGGAGTCCATGAACTGGCTGCGGGGGCACCAGGACCAGGTGGGTGCTGGCTGCTGACCCGAGCCCTCACACAGAAAAGGCGTGCACGAGGGTCAGCCCCCCACAACTGAGGGTAGCCCTGAGGCCCGAGCAGACTGCAGATCAGCACTGACCTCCACCCCAAGGCCTGGCCCCCAGAACACGCCCATGGCACCGCTGGGAACACTGGGACAGAAGGGACTCACCTTACAAAGCTAGCACACCAGGCCTTGGGTGGGGAGGGCAGAGCTGGGAAACACTCTGCCACTACTTCCCCGGTTGCGGGCAAGGGACCCACTGAGGTCTGGTTTGTAAGCCCCAGGCCCTTCACCCCCAGGCCCACACTCACTCCAAGACCTCATTCTTGTCCTCAATCTTGGCCATCATCTCTCGAAGCAGCTTGGCTTTCTCCTCACTGTGGGAGAAGCAACAGAGCAGTTGCTGGAAGCCTGCGTCTTGAGACATCCCAACCCCACCAGTGCAGAGGGCAGGGCCAGCCCCTCCCACCCACCTGTACAGTGATGAGGCCTCATGGGCAGCCATAGGTACCAGTTTGGCAAAAATGTCAGGCCCTGTGACAGCTGGGTCTGTAGGGTTCACTGGCAGGGGCTTCACCAAGGGGGCACCTGGGAGGGAGCAGAAAGTCATGGAGCCCAAGCAAAACTCGTCTGTCTCTGTGCCACCCACCCTGATCCTCAGCCTCCCCTCAGCTGCAGACCTTTCACGGGCTGAAGGGTGTCCAGTGCTGGGACAGCCTCATGGTAGATGAAGTCATTGTCCTTCTTGGCAGAATTGTACCTGGGGGTCCAGAGAAGCGGGAGTGAGTCAAGAGTCTTGGACAATCAGCAGGGACCCAGGAGCTGGCCTCGTGTGCGGGCCACTGCCTCCTGGCACTGGGGCTTCTTCCCAAGGATGCAGGCAGAGGGCCAAGACCCTTCCCACTCGGCAGGAACCAGGCCAGCCCAGCCCCACAGACTCACTTTCCTCCAATGACGTCCATAGTGAAGCGAAGTGCATCTTGCACCGTGTCAGGCTGGCCCTGTGGGGTAGGGATGCGGAGGCTCAGCACCCACCAAGGCAAATGCCAGGGCACCCCTCAGCCCGCCGGGCTCCTCCCCGTCCTCTCAGGGTTCTGAGGAACAGCCGGGCCCTTCCTCAACTCTACCTTGGCCAATTTGATGGCTTCATTGAGCTTGTCCAGGGCACTTTGGAAGTATGCGACCTGCAGGAACAGCGGGCAAGCCTGTTCAGCCCTTCCCTGCTTGGACTCTCCTCCTCCTGCCACCCCCGAGCCCTGCCTGGCCATCAGATCACTCATTAATGGCAAGAAGCTGAGGCGGCAGCCAGGTGCCAGCCGAGCCAAGATCGCAGTGGTCAGCATCCCACTGTGCCGCACCCACAGCTTAACGTGCAGCCAGCCAGCCTGCGGCAGGGGGTTGTCCCGGTGTGGGGAGGTAAGAGGCAGAGAGAAGACCAATTCTGTGCGGGAGGGGAGCCCATGGGCATCTCACTAACAAGGCTGGAACTGGTCCTGAGTCCTCTCCTCACCACCACTCACTCACCTGCTCCCCGAACTTCTGCTGCTCCTCGGCCTGCTTCCCCATGTGTAGCTGGGAAAGAGAAGAGACGTCACTACTTACTTCCCAAGCTGTGGCACCCCAGCCTCGCCCTGAGCTGGGGCCATAGCGCCCTCACATGAGCCACAGCTGCAAAGTAGTAGATCTTCATCTGTACCAGCTTCTTCCAGTCCTTCTGAATGCGGCCCAGCAGTGAGGCGGTATCGGGGTTCTCCAAGGCCCGGCAGGCCTCCTTGTAGTAATCCACCACCTGGGAGCCAGGTGAAGTCATCAGCGGGACATCAGCAGTAAACCGAAGGCCTGCCCTCGAGCCCTTGAGAGCCACCGTCTCCCCTGTCCCTACCTGTGCACTGATGCGGGCCACCAGAAAGCTCTTCCTGTTGTCCAGCATGGACTTCTCCAGAAGGCACTCCTGGGCCTGGCCCTGCGACCACAAGTCACACCCACGTTGCCTCAGGCCATGTCCCTCCCACCAGGCAGACCCCAGGGCTCCCCTCTTCAAGTCCTCTCTCTGCCAGCCTCCCCCACTCGAAGGAACCCAGCCCTGCTCCTGATGCACCTGGAGCTCTAAGAGCGGAGTCCAGGCCCCTGCTCATCCTGCACTGCACAGGGCCTGGCCGAAGGTCCAGCCCCAACTGTCCCCTCCCTGAATCCAACCTAGTTCCAACAAGAGCACCGCCTCACCAGCATGAGGTTGACATTGAGAGTGAGGACCTGGCGGCTCATGTCAACGCTGTAGGCCTGTGGGAAGTGCTCGCGTAGGTAGGCAAAGGCGCCTGCTGCGCACTGGAAGTGAGTGCAGGAGACCTTCATGCCCTGGGAGGGGAGAGAGGGAAGGTGGCGGGGCGGTACCACACCCACGGGGCAGGGCTCAGCTCAACTCTGCAGTCTGAGAACACTCAGCAGCCCGCCCTGGTTATGGCCCATGTCCCACTACACTACCCCTCCCATCCCCTCCCTTCCTCACCTCTTCAGACACCCGCTTGTCCATGGCACCCAGCATGGAGTGCAGTGCACCTGGGGAGGCAGAGGATACAGTGCAGGGCTAGTCGGAGGCGCTCCCCACACCCCAGTTAGTGGTACGGCAGAGGGAGCAGCACTGTCACCCACGTTCAGGAAAACAGGGTCTGAGAACTGGAGCAGTGGGTCCAAGGACACAACAAAGCTGAGCAAATGGGGAAACTCGGAAGCCCAGCCAAGCCCCTCCGTCTCCTGCTATGCACCAAGCAGGGGTGTGAGTAGATGAAGGAGGGGCTCCTGTCCACAGACCCCAGCCCAGAGGTCCGGTCTGAAAGCTTCAGTGACACCCACACAGGACTTTAGGGCTGGCTCCCCAAGCTTGCCCCTGAGCCAGGATGGGCCAAGCCATCAAGGCTGACAGTGCCAACCTCGTTTCCTGCTGCCTGAAGCAGCCGGAGTCAGAAAGCCGGGTCGGGAGCGGTCCAGCCGAAACAGAGAGGCCCTGTCAACGATCTCTCCCAGCTGAAACACACCGTGTGGCAGCTGGCCCCAGAAGAGCCTCTCCCAGCAGGGTGGCTCCCCATGGCCCAAAAAAGAGGCACTGGCAGAAATGTGGACAAGGCCCCCACTGCTCAGAACCCAGGTGCCTCCCCTCTGTCCATCCACTGCCCTGTGGCCTGGTGCTCAACTGAGGTCCAGGGTGGCAGGGCCACAGGGAGGGGCTCAGGCTGCTCACCAAGGTTGTAGAGAATGCAGGCCTGCTCATACTTGATGTCCTCGTGGGCCACGGACTTGCCAGAGAAGATCTCAGTCCTGCAGACATGCCACACCAGTTATCTTTCGGGGAGGAGCTGGCCAGAGCCCCAAGGCTTGGTGAGGGGACCAGTCACCCCTGTGCAGGGTTGGAGGGAGGGAGGCCCTGGGAGACCACACCAGGCTGCTCCCCACCCTGTACAGCCAGAAGGGAGGGGAGGGAGGAGCATCCCAGCACCCAGACACCCCAGGGTTGTTCCAGGCTCCCTCTGCCAGCTCTCACCAGGTGACAGGAACAGCGGCTTCCTGGCCTGAGCCCATGGGGACCCGACTCTGCAAGTAGTGGAGCTGGCCTAGGTACTTGCGGAGGACACTGCAGCCCTCAAAGTCCCGTGGGACCCGCACAGCATTCTGGAGGGCAGATGGGAAAAGCTGTAATTACTTGGAGAAGAGAACAGGTAGGTCTGTCTGCCCTAAACGCCCAGGAAATATATGCATCAGAGCTGGAACAACTGCAATCGCCAGGAGACCCAAAGAAAGCCCACTGCTGTGCTTGGGGTCGGTCATTCAACACATCACCCCAGTGGCCAGGGCTGGTGGGCCGACTCAGCACCCCCTTTCTGGAGGCAGTTCACAACATGCATTAGAATTTTTAGAATGCTTAATTCTCACCCACAGCTCAGTATCTAAAAATATGCAGTAAGAGATACCCAGAAGAGCAACTGCTCGAATGAGCATGCGTAGATATTTATACCAGCGTTATTAACAGGGTCAAATACTGAACGCCACCAAAATAGCCATTAAAGAGGGTTGTTTAAACAAAACTGAAACAGACTCAGACACAGAGAACAGATGGATGGTTTCCAGGGGTGGGGGGCTGGTGAAAGGTGAACAGGTGAGTGCAGACTGGCAGTCACAGAGTAGTCTCGGGGACGTGAAAGATGGCACAGGGCACACGGTGACACTGTAGGCACTGCGTGCGGTGTGGGATGGGCGCCGGGGTATCAGTGGGCACGTTCTGCAAAGTACGATTATCTGACCACTATGCTGTACACCTGAGACTAACACAAAATACTGAATGTGAACTGTGACTGAAAAACAAGGACAGAGCCTCGGGGACCTGCGGGGCGCGATCAGCAGACCAACGTGCGCACCGCTGAAGTCTCAAAAGGGGGAGAGAGAGATATGAAGAAATAATAGCCTAAAACTCCCCAAATTTGATGAAAGACATGAATATAAATATCAAAGAAGTACAATGAAGTCCAGGAAACTCAGAGAGTGCCAAAGAAGCCAGACCCGAGGAAGCACATACTGAGGCACATCATTATTAAGTTACCCAAGATTAAAGAGAAGGAGAGAACCTTCAAAGCAGCAAAAGAAAAGGAGAGAGTTACCTATAAAGGAGTGCCCATAAGACTATCAGCTGATTTCTCAAAAGAAATCTTGTGGATAACAAGAGTCTGGAAAGAAGTATTCCAAGTCATGAAAGGCAAGGACCTACATCCAAGATTGCTCTATCCAGCAAAGCTATCATTTAGCCTGGAAGGCCAGACCTCTGGCTGGTGTAGCTCAGTGGATTGAGTGCGGGCCTGCAAACCAGAGGATTACGGTTCAGTTCCCAGTCAGGGCACATGCCTGGTTGCAGGCCTGTTCCCAGCAGGGGATGCATATGAGGCAACCATACACTGATGTTTCTCTCCCTCTCTAAAAATAAATTAAGAAATTGTTTAAAAAAATTAAAAAAGAACCCTAAAATTAAAAAAAAAAGAAAAAAAAAGAATGGAAGGGCAGATAAAGTGCTTCCCAGATAAAGTCAAGTTAAAGGAGTTCATTGTCACCCAGCCCTTACTATAAGAAATGTTAAAGGGACTTATTTAAGAAAAAGAAGATTAAAACTGTGAACATTAAAATGGCAATAAATTCACAACTATCAACAACTTAATCTAAAAAACAAACTAAGCAAACAAGCAGAACAGAAACAGAATCATAGATATGGAGATTATCAGCTGGGTGAGGGAAGGGGAGAATGGGGGAAAAGGTACAGGAATTAAGAAATACAAATCCATAGTTATGTTCTTTACGCGGTAAAGAATAGTGTGGGAAATGGAGAAGCCAAAGAACTTACACCCATGACCCATGGACATGAACTAAGGAGGGGACTCCTGGAGGGAAGGGGGGTACTGGGTGGAGGGGAGCAAAGGGGGAAAAACTGGGACAACTGCAATAGCATAATCAGTAAAATATATTTTAAAAACAGATCAGTTCCTTTGCTTCGACCGCATAAAGACCACATATGAAAAGCCCTTTGCTAACATCACACCACATGGTAAAAACCGAAAGCTTTCCAAGACCGAGAACAAGGTAAGGATGCCTAACGTCACCCTCTGTGTTAACACGCGCCTGGAAGGCCCACCGGAGCAATCAGGCACGGAAAAGAAAACGGCCCTGACTGGTGCGGCTCAGCTGGCTGGGTGTCGTCCCACAAAACGAAGGGTTACAGGTTCAGTTCCCAATCAGGACTCATGCCAGGGCTGTGCGTCCAGTTCCAGGTTGGGCACATACAGGAGGCAACCCATCAATGTCTTTCTCTCACATGAATGTTTCCCTCTCCATCTTCCTCTCTAAAATCAATGAACACACCCTTGGGTGAGAATTTGAGTGAATGAGTGAATGAATGAATGAATGTCTGCAGTAGCAACAAAAAATACTAGAAATGAACTTAACCAAAGACAAAAGGCTTATACTCTGAAATTATAAAATGTTTTGAAATAAATTAGATAGTAAATGTCTTTTTATTTTCACTATAGACATTATATAAATTTTAAAATAACCTGTATTCACGTAGTGGAAGACTTACTATTGTTAAGGCAGCAAAAGTCCCCTAAGGTGATCTACATTTTTAGGTTTTACTTTTTAGGAATTGAATTCAATTCAATCCATATCAAAATCTCAATAGTATTTTTCTGCAGAAATAGAAAAATCCATTTTAAAATTCATATGGAATATCAAATAACCAAACCAATCTTGAAAAACAGGGATAAAATTGGAGATTTCACGATTCCTGATTTCAAAACTTGTTACAAAGCTGTAATAATCAAAACAGTGTGGTATTGGCATAAAGAAAGACATACAGACCAACAGAATATAAGACAGAACCCAGAACCGAACCCTCACATGTACGGTGTTAGGGGCTGAATTGTGCCCCCACCAAATCCATATACTGAAGTCCTAACCCCCATCATCTCAAAATGTGTTTATAATGAGAGCTACAACCTACTGCAGTTGGTTTTGTTGGTATACATATTATTTATAAATAAAAAATTTAAATATGTATATACATATATATGGATTGTGAAAATGATTTTTAGGGTTGTCTTTCCTTTTGTTTTTTGCTTTTTAGTATTTTCTGGTTTTTCTATCATTATTTTTATTTTTACAGAAGGAAAAATACTAAATTAAAATAAGAACACAGCTGCAGGTGATTTCTTTAACTCTATCAGTCATTCACGCCTGCATAAAACACTATCCTCCTACCTGTCTGAGCAACTCCAGCTTCTTCAGTTCCTCATTGTAGGCTTCTGGGTTCTCTCCATAATTCTTCAGGACGAACTAGAGAGGGAAGAGAATGTACACCAGGGATGGAGGAGACTCCTGGCTCCCAACTTCTGCCCTCCGAGTCCTCACAATCGCCAGTGAGGGCTCAGGACCGAGTCCGGACCCCCGGCCACAAGCTCATCTCCTGGACCAACAGACACTCAGTAACAGGGAAGCACCAAGATGCTGACCACAGAGCCTCCTCCTTGGAGCAAAATGGAACATAAGACTGGTCGACTCTACCTGAACTCCAAGCTGGTCCTTACCGGGCCGCAGCCCTCTCTACAATGCCCAGGATTCTGCCAGCCCAGGAGACTGGGGAACTTAGGTAGCTGAAATGGGGTCCTCCGGAGCATTCTCAAACAGGCCACAAGTTCAAGCTCCCCTCAAGGATTGCACCCTGCTGAGTTCTGGGGTCAAAAGCACAATGCTAATCCAAGAACAAATGCAGGCAAAAGCACTGACAGGAGTGTGACTGCAAGTCCTCTTCATCAGCCCAGCCTCCCTCCTAGCTGGGAAAGGACGCCACAGCTAGAAGTGATCTGCAGTGTCCTCCCCTGTGAAAGGCCCGCAGATGAGTCACAGGAATGACCCGGACGGCAGGGGTGAAGGGGTGCCCACCTCGGCGAGGGAACTGGTGTGCCTGCCCATCACCAGCCTGGCCGTCCTGGGCAGTGAGCTCACTCGCCAGCCTGGAGGCCCGGCCAGAACCAAAGGGCCCCTTGCTCCCCAAACCCGCAGGCGGAGGCAGCTGGGACTGCCCCTGCTGCAGGACCTGCGGCCTGGGGTCTGGGCTGGCGATCTGGAGGGCCAGGTCACTCACTCTGCAGAGACTGAGGACACTGATGGCCAACTCACAAGGTTCTTTAAGGCCTTGGCCAAGGTTGGTGAGCAGAGAAGGAGCCTGCAAAGGCTGAGAAGAGGCGGCCCACTCTGTGCAGCAGCGCACTCACACGCTATCTGTTACCCACCCACCTCTCTGGGGGGGGGTCCCTTCCTAGGACCTATGTCTAAGGAATCGGCCACAAGGGAACCTGACAGCTACCACCTACCCTGGTAGGGAAAGTGAGAGGAGGGACAGGGAGAAGGGAGGCTACCGCTGAGCTTATCACACAACCATCCAGCACGATCTCAAACCTCCGGCCCTGACCCCTCCTCTGTCCGTGTTACCTCCCGAAAGTCCTCTTGAGTGTCCATGAGCTTTCCTCTCTGTCCTCCTGCCACCTCTGGTCTACGCAACCTGCCCCCTTCCCGGTGGCCAGGACTGTCTAACACAGCTCCAGACATCATTCCTAACCTTAAATCCTTCCGAAACACACACCCCTGGGGACAAAATAAACCACAACATGCTTTTCTCAGGACAGCAAGATTATGGGAAATGAGTGATCTAAAGAGAAAAACTGTCCTCTGAAAAGAGCGCGCAACAATGGCTCCCCAAAGCCTCCGGGGCCGAATCTCATCCCCTCGGCCCAGAGCTCAGGGCCCCTCGCCGTCTGCTCCCAACGGCCTTCGCAGACTGTCCCCTGGCACCTCCTAGGGGCACCCAGCCAGAGTGAGTTGGAATTGCTGCTGCCAGGTCTCGGTGCTGGTCCAATGCCGCTCCCGCCTTCCCTGCTGACACCTGGGAGGGCCTGACTAGATGTGCTGGGTTCTCAGCAAACGGCTGCCTTTACAGAAAATGCAGGGGATACACAAGTGGAAAAATACTGAAAGGAGACGCTGTGAAAATCAGAAGATGTGACATTTTACCGAGCAATTAACCCATTCGCTTTGAAAAAATCAACGTCGTCACGGAAGGGGGAGGGCAGGGGACTATCCTGTTGTAGAGCAGAAGAAACGGTGAAGATACAACGTGGGCTGCTGGCTGGATATGAGTTTGGGAGAGTCAGTCATTAAAGACGTTTCAGGGACCGCAGGTGGAATTCCAATACAAGTTACAGTAGGAGGCTTTTCTTAGGTGTGATGATACTATTGTGGTCACGTAGGAGAGTGTCCTCATGTTTGGGACGTGCTGAGATGCGCACAGCTTACTTTCCAAGGTTCATGGGATGTATCCCACACACGTGTGTGTTTGAGCATTTGCAGATGCTCCTCGACTTACAATGGGGTTACATCCTCACAAACCCATTGTAAGCCGAAAATGCATTTAACACTACAGTGTAGAGCACTGACTGCCTCCTCGATCACAGGGCTGACGGAGCAGTGGGTCGACACTGTGCTGCCCAGCATCGCGAGATCACAAGATTGTCATCATGCATCATATCACCGGCCCAGGAAGAGAGCACAATTCAAAATCCCAAGTATGGTTTCTACCGAATGCGTACTGCTTTTGCATCATTGTAAACTCAAAAAATTGTAAGTTGAGCTGTGGCTGATGTGGCTCAGTGGTTTGAGCATCCACTTTCAAACTGAAAGGTCTCTGGTTCGATTCCCAGGTCAGGGTAGATGCCTGGGTTATGGGCCAGGTCCCCAGTTGGGAGTATGTGAGAGGCAACCAATAGTTCCTCTCGCTCTTTCTCCCTCCCTTCCCCTCTCTCTAAAAATAAATAAAATCTTTTAAAAATTTGGAGAGATGCTGTCACAAATGACTGCCTATATTCACAGGTTATTTCCTAAACTCTGAGAAAATCTTCTGACTGCTGATCACTCCCCCAGCTAAACAGAGGAAAGAAAAGAGCTGAAGGTGCCCACGGTGAAAAGAGAGGCCGCCTCACCGTCACCTGGCGGTCCGGAACGCTGCAGGTCCCAGAACAGTCTAGTGTGGGCCCGAAGCTCCCGACAGAGCCTGGGAAGGTCCAGCAGCAGGCAGAGCTCGGACCCTGCACCGCAGACCAAGTAAGAACCCTGAAGGCACTGACAGGCCCCCAGTGCCCAGCGCAGCCAACAGAGAACCTCCAAGGCCTAGCTAGGCTTCGGAGCAGCTGGGGGTCCTTTTCTGAAGGAACAGTAAGACCTGCAGACAGACCCATGTTAACTGAGAGCATGTTCAGGGGCCAGAGCCGCTGGGGGGCGGGGAGCAGGAAAGAAGGGAACTAAGAGGGAAAAACAGTAACACCGCATGGAAAGGCCATTTCCAGAGAGAAATACCAAGACAGAGTATTAAGTCCTGGCTGTGCCCCTGGGTTGCTGCAAGATGTGGCCTTGGTTTTCCCATCTGTAAAGTGGGGTTAACATTACCTGGTATGGTAATATAGTACCTGACTCAGAGCTTCTAGAAGGCCCTGAACTACTTCCTAAATTGAGAAAGAGGACAGTAGGCTAAAAATACTGTTTACAGCATGCCAGGACCTGTACCGGGGACTTGCATGCATGAACTCTTGGTTCTTACGGGCTCATGAAGTATACCACTAGCTCTGTGTTACAGGTGAGGCAAGTGAGGGCCAGATTAGAGATGTGGTCACTTCTAGCAGCTGATGGTTAACAGCTGGTAAGTGGAGGAACTGGGGCTCAACCCCAGGTCTGTCTGATTCCAGCGTCTTTGCTATGTCCACAACGATGCTCTCTCTTTCACTGAGCAAGAAACAGCACAAAATTTTGTAGGTAGCTGAGATCACTGGAAACATCCATCTTGGGTCCTGCCGTTCTGCAGATTAGGAAAACGGGAACCAGAAATGTGCAGCGGTAGTACTGGAACTACTAATTTAATCTCCTGACTCCCGGCCCAGGGGGGCACCTTGGTTGTCACTCTCTCTCACACTAGCGCATTCTCATTCTTCTGTGTATGCTTTTATTTTTCTCGGTAGCAGGGGTGTCTAGCTTTTGCTCTTAATTTGATCTAACATCTTGGAATTTCACAGTGCTAATTAAAGCAATAACCCAAGAAGAAAAGACTTCACACAGGTAACTGCCCTTGTTCACCACACACCTCTTCTCCTCTACCTGCGGGCATGACTCAACACGAGGTGTTCCCTGGGCTGTTCCACAGACACCCAGAACTGAGTCCCACACACAGATGGTAAGTTAATACAATGTGTGCTCTGCTACAGGGTGTTAACGCAATTCATTTTATTCAGAGAAAGGCGTATCACTGCCATGGAAATCTTCAACCCCTTGGCGTCAGCATGCCTACACCGAATTACAGGCCGAGACCACCGGGGACAAGATCAGACCTTCGTCCTCGCCTGGTCTCCCCCAACTAGCACTCAGGGCGTCTGCCCCACACCTCTTCTGAATGGTCCCTCAACCAGTCTGAACACCACCAAGAAACGACTCAGGTTTCATCTCCTGGAGAGGCTGGACCCAGACCAGGTCATTCAACCAAGACTCGTTAAGCACTCTTCACATACAATATTTATCACTTCGCAGGTAAAGGCCAGAATCTAGTGTGAACTGGATACAGGTCCTTGGTGCATGAGACGGAAGTCAGAGGATGACCAGGATGACCCCGCTGTACAACGCAAGCGGGCAGACCGGCTCGGCCAGACCCGCCCGGTGACTCCACATGTGCGGTGAGAAACAGGAGAACCAGCACAGGCAACTGGCGCCGCTGCCAGGGCCCTTTCAGGCCTCTGGTCGTCTCGGTTCCCTTTCTGTGAGTGTGGCAAGTTTCTCAAAAGAGTCAGCTGTCCCTCAGGAAATCTGGAAGGAAAAAAATTCCACAAACCTGAAAACCAGGCTCTACCTACCTATGAGAAAGATGAACAGTGAAAAGAGGCAAGAAGAGTGAGTGCTCCAGGGAGCGGGTGGACTGAGTAACAGGAGCGGTGCGGCCTGTCTGAATCTGGAGGGTGGAGCAACCGCCACAGTGGAAGGACCCCTGAGAGGTTGACGGATGGGAGAAAAGGGATTCCCATAGCGACCAGAACAACGACCAGATGTGGATATTCCTGTAAGACAGGCCTTTGTGGCAGGCTTTGAACGGCAGGTAGGTCCCCTGGTGGGACCAGGAACCTAGTGGGAAAGTGGAGAATTAGAGAGCTCAACCCAGCCCTGGCTGGTGTGGGTCAGTGGACTGAGTGACGGCCTATGAACCAAAGGGTTGCCGGTTTGATTCCCAGTCAGGGCACATGCCTGGGTTATAGGTTAGGTCCTACAGAGGCTACCACACATTGATTTTTTTTCTCTCCCTCCCTTCCACTCTCTAAAAATAAATTTAAAAATATTTTTAATCACCCTGGCTGGTGTAGCTCAGTGGATTGAGTGCAGGACTGCAAACCAGACAGTCAAGGTTCGATTCCCAGTCAGGGCACATGCCTGGGTTGCAGGCCAGTTCCCTGCAGGTCAGTTCCCAGCAGGGGACACACAAAAGGCAACTATACATTGATGTTTCTCTCCCTCTCTCCTTCCCTTCCCCTCTAAAGATAAATAAATAAAATCTTTTAAAAAATAATTTTTTTTAAACGACAGATCAACCTAGCAGTGTGGAGGGAGAAGGCCAAGAGCCAGTTGTTGGCCACCATCTGGCACATCAGTCCTTGTGGATGGGTATTAATGGATCAGCACAAGTAAGCTCTGTGAAGGCAGGGACTTTTGTCCCCACACACAACCCTGAGTTCCTGGGGCTGGCACGTAACAGTCACTCAGTAACTGTTTGTTCAGTGAGTGAATCAGGGATGAATGTAACACTGCAGTACAAGTGAGCCTGACTTGAGCTCAAGTGCAATTAGTCAAGGGCAGAGGGCAGGTGTTTGGGATCAGAGGAGGAAAGAACTTCAGACATTAACACCTGTGGCCAAATCGCTCGCAGATGAAGAGCACGGGGCTCTTGCTCTATCAGTGCCCGGTGAGTCAGCACTCCGGGCTCCGAGGCCCAGCAGCACTTCCCCAGGGCGACGCCGTGCGGGTCCGGGCGTCCCTGCCCGAAGCTTGGCACTGCAATGTAAGGCCAGCTCGCTTTCCTCCTAGTAATGACTTCACATTATCCCGTAATTGAAGGTACGTCCATTCGGAATGAAAATCAGTACCAACCATTGAGAGTTTGTTAAATGCCCACCTCTCTCACACACACAAAAACCCCCAAACAAAACTCTCATTCATCCTTCAAAACTCACCTCCTGCACATCATCTAACTTAAAAATGTCCTTTACTAGACTATGATTCTATGAAAAAAAAGTGTTCTTATTCATCTGTACCATGGCTCAGCGTAGTGCACAAGAGGTTGACCTTCACAGAATGAATTTTTACTCTTCTACCCTAAATTAACTTCTGCCCCTCAGCTCCAAGTCACTGGTGAACCTTCCCGCAAAGAGCAAAGGAAGAACAAGGGCTCCAGTGGCAGAGGCAACATGGGCGGCATGGGGCATTAGGGTCGGGGGGAGGAGTCAGGGTCGGGGGGGGGGGGAGTTCCTAGGCTGTGGCGGCTGCAGGAGGGGAGCTCCAGTGCCCTGAAGGAGCTGGCCATTCTCCAGCCAGCCTACCCCCAGACTGTGGGTTCCTGCAAATCCATGCCACAATCTTATCAAATCAACGCTGGTACCTTTCTCAATTCCAAAAAGAGAGGAAACAAAGAAAAAGAGCTGATGTCGAGGAAACTTGCTTCAGCAGCTGACACCACCTCAGGCAAATGGCTGAGGAGGACGAGGAGGAGGAGGAGGCGGCCCAGCTTCTCCCAGGGAAGTCATCGCTCACACAATACCTTGTCGTCTAGGAGTGAGCTACCAGAGAGCACGTCAGAAGCTGAGTTCGAATAAAATCATCTCCTAGGAGCTTCTAAGCTAAGCCTTTATTCACTGGATTTCCATGAAGTTATAGCCACCATCTCTAAATTCCCTCCCAACGGTCAGTCATTTGAGACACATTTTTCTGAGTGCCAACTACGTAGAGGGGATGCTACTAGGCTGTGAAGCGGTTAGACACGGGCTGGCTGGTGTGGTTCAGTGGACTGAGCACGGGCTGTGAACCACAAGGTCACCAGTTCGATTCCCAGTCAGGTCACATGACTGGGTTGCAGGCCAGATCTCCAGTGGCGGCGCGCTGTGTGAGAGGTGACTACACATTGATGTTTCTCTCCCTCTCTTCCTTCCTCTAAAGATAAATAAATCGTTATAAACGTTTTTGCAAAGCCAACTATTAAAGATTCTGATTCATTAACGTTAAAGACTTCTTTGGTTGTATTTTTTAGCAATATTCATATTTCCATTGTTTGAAAAAATTTATTCTTTGTTTTTGTTTTTTATTTAAAGATTTTATTTATTTATCTTTAGAGGGGAAGGAGAGAGGGAGAGAAACATCAATGTATGATTGCCTTTCATGCATCCCCTGCTGGGAACTGGCCTGCAGGGAACCAGCCTGCAACCCAGGCATGTGCCCTGATGGGGAATCGAACTGCAATCCTCTGGTTCGCAGTACTCTTTGTTTTTATGTTTTTAAAAAAAGGATAAATAAAATCTTTTTTAAAAAGGCATGGTGATACCTTTCAGGTCACTTACAACTGCATAGGAATTTAAAACAGCACAGACAACTGACCAGGAAAAGGATGAAAAGAGTTAGGCATTCGGAAAAGGGAAAGAACCGCAGTTGTATGAAAGCGCAGATAGACAAGTGAACAAAACCTGGGAAAGATATAACAAAAGCTTGGAATTTTAAATTAATCTAACCCCCTGGTTTTATAAATGAGGGAAAAGAGGTCCAAAGAGTTTAAATGGTGGCCTCAACAGAATTCAAACTGCTAGTGTCTGAACTACTGCGGCAGCGCTGTGAAGAGGCCGGGGGCTGGCTTCTCGGGAAACTACTTCCGGAGCCATCTGCTTTCTCCTATTTCTTTTCTCAAGCACCCTGACCAGCTAGGTTATTTAAGACTTACTCTGGCCGCCGCTTTTCTACACGCATTGTGATTAGAAGGATGTCAACCTGCCACAACCTCCTGGTTTATTCCTCATCACTCTGCTCTGACCCTCAATGCAACCAAGTGGCCCTTCCCATGGCAGCAGATGTCTCGGAGGGCACCTGATGACCGATCAACACACTGCCAGACACACCTGATCTGGCCACAGAGGTCCCTCACTTCCATCAACGCCAAGCCTGCCTGTCTCTTCCATCCGATTGAAGATCGAACGCAGTGAGTGCTAAGGTCGCTCCGGGACCTACAGCACTGTTTATCTCCTCTGGGCAGTTATGAAAAGCAGCTACCCTCCCACAAATGACATGAACAGTATCTTTTGGTCCAAAGTGCTCCCGAATAGGGTTCTTCTTCTTGCACCAAGGGTCAAGAGGTCTGGCATTCTTCTGGATCACCGGGGCCCCGTCTTAAAAGATATATCCTGAGCCACCCTCGGCGTCCATCCCAGTCCAGCCGTGGAATGACGGCGCACGGGGGGCCCTGCACAGCCGTACAATCTGGACGGTCGGGGCCGTCCCCCGCTCCCCGCGGGGCGGGTTCTGGCGTGAAAGAAGGCGGAGCAGAACTAGGTCCAGAGCGTCACACCGAGGAAGTGGGGTGCCACGGTGGGAACCGTGGATGGGCCAGGACAGAAGTTAAAAACCAGGCTCCGACGAGACTGCGGTGCTAGCCGCGGGCGGCCGAGGAAGGAGAGAACGGTCTGCGAATGTGCTGAGGAATGGGGAGTGGGCCTGGCTGAGGAAAGTCAGGGAAGGCCGCACCCCACAGGGCCTGAGGCTTCGATGGACGCGCAGGGGGCGTCACGCGCTGGCAGGCGACGGAGATACGCGGAAGAAGTGGTGGGAGGATGCGCACTCACCTTCTTCACAGCCGGCTGGAAGTGGAAGTCACCAGCCTCTTTCAGGTCCAGCCAGATCATGGGCATGCGAGGTACGGCCTCCATGGCGTAAAGCGCCCGCCCGCCACCGGGCCGCTCCCCGTAGCTACTCCAGCTGCAGGCTCAGCCGCGCGCCCTACCCCGCCCCTCTGCGCCGGAAGGCACTAGTCACGCGGGGATGAAATATGTCCGCACGGCCTGCTGGGAGATGCAGTCCCTGCACGAACGCCCCGCCCGCCGCCGCGCCCGCGTGGACTTTTGCGCATGCGCCTAGTGGGCGAATCGCCCACACTAGGTGAATGGGTTTCTGGGAGTAGTAGTCTTTTCTTGTTTAGTTGCGGAGTACAGCGTGGGGGGGGGGGTTTCTTTCTCCTGGGCCGTCCTCCTCGGCCTGGCGCTCTTCTCTCAAGGGAGCAGCTTTAGAAAACGCACCCATGAATTTGTAGTCTCAAATAGTGTCGCGGGGGGTGGGGGGCAACTGCTATAATAGAGATAACGTGACGGGCGAGTCGTCCAGAGTAGGCGACTTGAAAGTCGAGCCCTAAGTCAACGTGAGAAATAAGTGGAGGTTGGAAGAACACTTGTTGAGGTAAATGGAGGGTATCATGAGGGCTTTGCCTAAAAAAAAAAAAAAAAAAAATTATCCCTGAGGAGTGGCCTAGAGCAAAGGGTTTTGTCCCGACTGTGGAGCTTTGGCCAAAGGTAACTAAGGCTTGGCGCACTTGTCCAGGTTGGCGGGCCCAGCACCGCATAAGAGATGGAGGCGCCCACTTGTGACCACGGGGAAAGGACAAACATGTCCTTTTGTTGAAACCAGAAAAATAGAGGTTAAAATAGGGACTGCCTTAAAGAGATTTGGCCTGGAGGCAGAAACCACAAGGAAATTAAGAAAGAACATAGGGAGTGGAGAAGGTGGAACTACAAAACCAATGGGGCTGAACAAGTAGAGGACCACCTGTTCAAGTATCTAGATTAAAATTTTTCCATTACTCAAAACCCAGAAACCTTAGGTCATGCTCGCGCCACCCGAGTAGCCAGTAGCTAACAGCCACATTTGCTTCTATACAATGCTTGCTTGCTCACATCTATAAAAAGACTTAGCTGTACGCCCTTAGCACAGCTCTCGGCTCTCCTTTGCAGCTCTTATGAGCACTGTGTCTCTGGACACTCTGAGGGTCCGCCCCTGCGCAGGTTAAAACTTTGGCCAATAAAATAACATCTCTGAATCCTGAAAGTTTCTGACAATTTGTCTCTCGCGTTGGTGGATGCAACACTTTAATCAATTTAATTTAGGGTAGAAGAATAAAAATTCATTCTGTGAAGGTCAACCTCTTGTGCACTACGCTGAGCCATGATGGTACAGATGAATATGAAACAACACTTTTTTTCATGGAATCATAGTCTAGTAAAGGACATTTTTAAGTTAGATGGTAACATTAGTGGAAGAGTGGAAAGTGGAAAAAAAAAAACAAAAAACGAAGCCTGGAGCCATGTGGGCAGATGGGGTGGTAGCAGCTGTGTGCGGAGTACTTGGAATTCCCAGACCGACTAGCTGCTTCCTGTGGAGACCTGTAGAGTCGTATTTTTTTTTTAAATTTTGTTTATTTAGAGAGAGGGAAGGGGAGGGAGGGAAACATCCATGTGTAATCGCCTCTCTCGCACCCCACTGGGGGACCCAGCCCACAACCCAGGCATGTGCCCTGACTGGGAATCGAGCTGGTGGCCCTTTGGTTTGCAGGCCGGCACTCTGTCTACTGAGCCACACCAGCTAAGGCAGAGTCAGAATTTTTTAAATCATGTTTGTACTGCCCATCTTTAGAAATAAGAGAAAATGGTTTGGAAAGGGCAGAAGTAGAAGCCGGGCCCGGGGCTGCGTGTTGACTGAGGTCGCGCATTTGTGCGACGGTGGACAGGCGAGGGAGTGGGCGGTTGGACCGGGCCGGCAGGTCCCCACGGCAAGCGGCAGTGGAGGGCACCGCCATTTCCCTGCTCTGACCCCACCTCCACATACAGCGTCATAACCCAGCGACTCTGAGCGGCCCGGCCCAGGTGAACCACCTAAGGCACTACTCCTCCTCCTCGGCACCCAGCTGTGAGAAGCGGCAGAGGGGGTCGCCATTTCCCCGCTCGGGCCACGCCCCCACATGTAGCGTCACAACCCAGCGACCTGGGAATCCAAGGCACGCTTCTCACATTTAAAGGGCCCGAACAGACCAAGAATGGTGCAGGAGAATCTCAGAGCCCCAGAGCCAATAAATCTAAGCGATGAAGAAATAGCAAAACTCACAGACGCACAGTTTAAAACATTGGTGATCAGGATCCTCACAGAACTGGTTGATTATACCGACAAATTAGACAAATATATGAAGGCAAAACTAATTGAAATGAATGGAATTGCACAGGACACCAATAGCAATGAAAAGGAAACTGGGACTCAAATCAATGGAGTGGACCAGAAGAAAGCAAATAATGGCCAAACAGAAAAGAGTCAAGAAGCAAGAATTCAAAGAAATGAGGAGAGTCTTAGGAACCTCCAGGACATCTTTAAACGCTCCAACATCCAAATTATAGGGGTACCAGAAGGGGGAAAGGCACAGCCACCAGTGGAAAACTTATTTGAACAAATAATAAAGGAGAATTTCCCCAATCTGGCAAAGGAAATAAACTTCTAGGAAATCCAGGAAGCTCAGAGAGTACCAAAGAAGTTGGACCCAAGAAGGAACACACCAAGGCACATCGTAATTACATTAGCCAAGATTAAAATGAAGGAGAGAATCCTAGAAGCAGCAAGAGCTAAGGGGACAGTCACCTACAAAGGAGTCCCCATCAGACTGTCAGCGGATTTCTCAAAAGAGACCTTACAGGCAAGAAGGGGCTGGAAAGAGGTATTCCAAGTCATGAAATCTAAAGACCTACAACCAAGATTGCTCTGTCCAGCAAAACTTTCATTTAGAATGGAAGGACAGATAAGGTGCTTCTCAGATAAGATCAAATTCAAGGAGTTCATCATCACCAAGCCCTTATTATATGAAATGTTAAAGGGACTTATCTAAGAAAAAGAAGTTAAAGAAACATGAACAGTGAAAGGACAACAAACTCACAGTTATTAACAACCACACCTAAAACAAAAGCAAACTAAAAGGACAGCTAGATCAGGAGTGGAAACATAGAAATGAAGATCTCAAGGAGGGTTAGCAACAGGGGAATGGGAGGAAGAGAAGGGGGGAGAAGGTACAGAAAATAAGTAGCATAGACAGTAGATAGAAAATAGATGGGGGGGCAAGAATAGCATGGGAAATATAGAATCTAAAGGACTTGAGACACATGGTCATAAACTAAAGGGGGGTAATGGTGGGGATGGGGGGTAGGGTGGAGGGGAATAAAGGGGGAATAGAACAACTGTAACAGCATAATCAATAAAAAAATTAAATAAAAAAATTAAAAAAAAAAAAGAAACTGCGAGACCTTGCAGGAGTGTGTGTGTATGAGTATAAAACAAGATCTGTCTGGGAAAAAGTCCAGTCATTGTTAATATAATGAGAACAGTTTGTGCAACATTGATGTAACCTGGCAGCCAAGGAGAGTGGACTGGAGTGTGCATGTGTGAATAATGATGACTTCACTGTACTACTCAGTGGGGGTGATAGGTGCCACTGAGTGAGCATGTGCGCTGTGTGACCATCACATTCAAAATGACTGAGCAACAAGGGCAATGAATCTGCATTAAATTTTGCATTAAGCTTGAACATTCCTCCACAGAAACTATGACAATCCAGAAGGCTTTGGGGGACGACGCAGTGAATTCAGTGCAAATAAAAGTGCGGCACAAATGCTTCGAAGATGGTCGAGGACCTCTTGAAAGGGATCCATGTTGTGGAAGGCCTACAACAAGCAGAACACCTGTGAATGTTGAACATGGCCAGGCAGCAGTCAACAAAGATCAGCCACTGACAGTGCAAGAGTTAGAAGCTGATCTGGAGATTCCAAAAACTCCTGTGTCCGAGATTTTGATGGAGGATCTCGGCATGAAATGTGTTGAAGCAAGATTTGTTCCATGGCTTCCGCTACCAGAGCGGAAGGAACACCGTGCAGCAGTTGCTAATGATGCTGGGAGAAGTGTGTGAGGTCCCAAGGTGCCTACTTCGAAGGGGACGGAGGCATCATTGTCCTATGTACAATGCCTCTTGTATCTTCTTCAGTAAATGCCTCTATTTTTCATAGTATATAGCTGGATACTTTCTGGGCAGGTTTTGTATATATGTATATTTAAGGAAAGCAGAACATTTGCATTTACCAGCATCTTAAAAGAGCTTTTCTTCTGGAGGACCATTTTGGAATTACCTGATCAGTGGTGGAGGAATTGACTATACACCCATGCCCTAAAAAGTCCCAACCATGATGAAGAGAAGTTGCCCCAACAACTGGTGGTGAATACACCGCAGAAGCATAAAGCAGCCCATCCTGGGGTTCTCTGATGGTGAGACAGTGGCCAGCTGTAGGCAGTTGCTAGACTTAGGCACAGCGGCTGGGACCAGAGCAGGCTACCGGTGGGAGACTGTAGCACAGCATTGCTGAGCAAGGAAAGGCAAGATTTGGGACATGGGACCAGGGAAGCAGGAAGCCACGGGAGGCAGTTTGGGCACAGGACACAGAGAGCCCAGGCCCCGAACAGGAGACTGCAAGAGATGAGGAGCAAACAGTTGCAAGTCAGTATGGGCTGGGACAGTCAGGACAGAAGGGAGAGAGGAGGGCTAGGAAGTCCTAGTTGGGCTTTGCAAGACAGGGAGCACCCTGTGAGACTGGCGAGGCAAGCGTTCCGGGTGGGGGGAAACTGCAGATGTGAAGTGGGGTTCCGGCCAGTCTTCAGGACTCAAAGGAGCCCCACAGTTGGGTCCCTACCTCCTGGGCTTCTTAGAGCAACTGTCCTTCCCCTAGCCTCTCTGGCTTTTACAGACGGGACCACCACCTCAGCCCCACCGTGGTGCTCCTGGGGTTGAACTATTACAACAAACATATCCACTCCCAGTGCCATGCTATGTTAATTTGCCAGAGCTGCTGTAACAGTATCGCAGTATCACAGCAGAGTGGCTTAAACAACAAATGACTTTTCTTACCACTCTGGAGGCCACCAGTCAGGTCAAGGGGTCACCAAACTCTCT